CCCAGGAATGTGTTTACATGAACACCCAGTACTTAGGAGTGCCTGTGTTTTAGCAATGCCAGCTGTACCTTTGCCAAGTTCATGCACCGGAGAGTGACCTCAGAAGCAAGCGTCTGTTCTATGACAGGGCCTGACTTTGGCTCCTAGTATAGGCTGACTGTGATTCAGGCCTAAAGTCTTGCACCAGGCCCCATGCTCCAGGCTCCCTGTCACTACTACAACTACCTTTGGGCGAATTTGTGAGTGAATTTAAGCACTGAAAATCTCTACATCTGCAATTGTGTCCATTAGTCCAGCTGGACTCTACTTGGCCATTGTTACTTATGGAATATTTCCATTGAAGGCAATGGGACATCTGACATGAGAAAAGACTTCTCAGTAGAGTCAATGTCTGCAGGGCCATGCACTCCCTGGGCGCTGCATTACAGTTCAGCCCTGCAGAGCAATGACCACCTATGGCTGGGAGCAGAAAGGCAATTCATCTGGGCGTGGGAGGTTGGTTGCATCAGGATATTTGTTTGTACCATCTGCACAGAAAACACAGCACTAACTCCCCAGGCTCAGCCCCTTCGGAGGTGGAATCAAGAGAGACACAGGCTGCCACGGAGAAGGATACAAGTATGAGGTGAACTCTAGACTGTGTAAATAGAGGGGGAAGAACATGTTCTAACCCAGATCACGGCAGTTGCTTGTCCTTTCAGGTAGATGCAGGTCTCTTTGCTGAAAAAATCCAGATTTTGCAGAGTGAGAAGAGACAAGAACTTCAGCTGAGGATCCTGAATCCTGGCAGCCAAACCCTAAGAAACAAGAGCTCATCACTTCAAGCTTCAGCTGTTGTATGGTCACAGGTGAGCACCATCTTCTTGACTGTGTTTCTATCCCCCCTTCCAGACAGGGGCATGAATGTGCTCTGTGAATATTAGCAGTTTTAACCTCCTCTGCCCACAGCAGTGATGGTTTTAATAGCACCATTTCAGAACAGGGAAATTGAGATACATCTTGTGAACGGTCCTCAGCCAGGGATCTGGACCACTGCTTCCAGTAGAGCTATGGCTGATTCACACCAGCTGGGGTCTGGCCCACTGAGGCCAGCAGAGCTATGGGCCATTAATTGTATCTGGGAATCTGGTTCATTCACTCCCTATGGAGCTATGGCCAATTCACACCAGCTGGGGGCTGGCTCATTCACCCCAGTGGAGCTACGGACGGTTCACACCAGCTAGAATCCAAACAAAGTGAAGCAGATAGAAAGGAGCATAATAAGGATATGGAAAATGTAAGGAGAAAATTAGCAGGATGGCACAGGGTGGGCTGGTCTTTGGAGGGAGATGGGCTCTGCCCCCACCTCTGTCTTGTCCTCTGAACCCAGCCGATGAGTTTAGGTTTGGGTGACAAGATTGTAGCTCAGGGATGGGACTTCCTAAAAGAGGGAGCCAGGTGAGCTCCCCTGCTCAGAGAGATGTGGGGAGCTGTCAGAGAGCTGGGCCTGACACCCAGGGAAAGAGGACAGGGCTGTAGGGGGACCCAGAGTCAGAGAGGAGTGGGACAGGAACTCTCCCTAGCAGCAGTGAGGGGTAGGAGCAAACTCTCGAGAGGTAATGAGAGGACCAGGAGGGGTTTACTGGGAGATTCTCGCTCTGAGTGAAACCCTCATTTCAGGTTAATAGAGAAGACCTCGTAACGGGGGAGGTGGGGAGGGGGGGATAATTCAAAGGCACCAACAGTGCAAGTTGGTTTGACGGAGGCCTGGGGGAAAATGGAGGCAGTGGCAGTGTCTGATATGTGAAGAGGTTCGACTGCCAGAGGGAATTTGAAGTACATGTGCTCTGAGTTAAAAGCAAGCAGCAAACTCTTTCAGTTTATCTGAGTCGGGGAACTGCAAGACTCTGTTGATCCACTGAACTCTCGGGGAATAAAGATAAGGACTAGAATTGGTCAGAAATTTTCCGAAACTCACTTTCTTCAGAAAATGTTGATTTGGAAGGAAAATTTTAAATAGAATCATAGAAATGTAGGGTTGGAAGTCATCAAATCCAGCCCCCTGTGCTGAGTCAGGACCAAAGAAATCTAGCCCATCCCTGACAGGGGTTTGTCCAACCTGTTCTTAAAAACCTCCAGTGACAGGGATTCCCTCGGAAGCCTATTCCAGAGTTTAACTCCCCTTGTAGTTAAAAAGATTTTCCTAATAACTAACCTAAATCTCTCTTGCTGCAAACTAAGCCCATAACCTCTTGTTATACCTTAAGTGGACATGGAGAACAGTTTATCCCCATCCTTTTTTGAACATCCCTTAAAATATGTGAAAACTGTTATCACATCCTATCTCAGTCTTCTTTTCTCAAGATTATACATTCCCTATTTTTTTCATCTTTCTTCACAGGTCAGGTTTCCTAAACCCTTTATCATTTTTGTTGCTATCCTCTGGACTCTCTCCTATTTATCCCCATCTTTCCTAATATGTGGTGCCCAGAACTGGACACCATACTCCATATGAGGCGTCACCAGTGCTGAATATAGCAAGTCAGTTACCTCCCGTGTCTTACATATGACACTCCTGTTAATACCCAGAATGGTATTAACCTTTTTGCAATGGAATCACATTGTATATTCAATTGCTGATGCACTCTAACCCCCGATCCTTTACAGCAGTGTTACCACCTAGCCATTTCTTCCCATTTATTAGTTGTACATTTGATTTTTCCTTCCTAAGTGTAGTACTTTGCAATTGTCTTCATAGAATTGCATCTTGTTGATTTCAGACCAGTTCTCTTATTTGTCAAGATTGTTTTGAATTCTTATCCTGTCCTCTGACAATCCCTCCCAGCATGGTGTCATCTGCAAATTTTATACATATTCTCCACTCCATTATCCAAGTCATTAATGAAAATATTTAATAGTATCAGACACACGACAGAATCCTGCAGGACCCACTAGATTCACCCTCCCAATTTGACAGCGAACTATCAATAACTACTTTTAAAATATGCTCTTTCAACCAATTGTGCACTCACCATAAAGTAATTTTGTCTTGACCACATTTCCCTAATTTGCTTATGGGCTATATCCTGTCTACTGCTTTTCCTCTAGCCACTATGCTGCTAATTTTATTAAAGAAGGAAATTAGATTGGCCTGCCTCCTTGCCTTCTTGTCAGAGTTTTTGAACTGCCCCAGCTCCCACTGACTTCAGCTGCTGTTGTTAGGCTCAACACTCTGTAATCAGCTCCCGGTGTCTCAAGTTGGGCACCCAGAGAAAAAGGATCACACAGGTAGTGACTACTTCCCAAAGTCTAGCATCTCATAGGCAGGGATAGAACCTATTTCTTCTGGATGATGTTCACTTGCCTTAACTACAAGATCATAATTTCTCTCCCTGCAGTCCTCTACCTCATTCTTCCTGGAATTTCCAACTTCTAGACTGAAGGATGGAAGGGTCCTACAAACAACAGTCTCATTCACTACACAGCAAGGAGGGGCAGGTGTGGTGTATTGAGGACTGTATTGGAATTGCAAGCTAATGCTATCTCTTTAACAGTGGGAGGTGGTTTCCTGGTCCTGCTTGCAGGCTAGAGGGCTCTGTAGTAAAGCATGCAATCATCAGAGTCAGTCTGAAAAGGGCCATCTTGCAGGAAAGGTGGTCCATTGTGCCTCTCTCTGTATTAGGAATCAGTCTGCTTTGTCTCTCTCTCTGTGTTTTGTGGTTCTTGTGTGTTATTCTGAATTCTAAAAAATAAAAATTAAGTACACTTCAAACTTTCAAGAACAATATTCTTTGTTTTAATCTAACACCTTTCTGTATCTGCCGTGAACATAACAAGAGGCACAAATAGAGAATGCATCACCTCAGCAGAAGAGATAAAATGAGTGCAGGTGAAGAGTCACTGATCACAATCTGCCAGTCCAAACAATAACCACAGTGTGGCTAGGGCAAGTGTCTTCCCTCCCAGTACAGTCCAGTGATCCAGGCCTGGTACTGGCCTCCTACTGAGGACAAAACCAAACGCAAGGAGTAAGGATCTTTCACCACAAACTAGTTTCAGCTTGGGATGCTATATAGGAAAATATGCCAATGTAAATATACCATAATAATTATACTGATAAAACTCTGCATGGACGCACTCATTCTGGATGGAGTGCTATTTTATGGCTCCATTTACATTGCTTTGAAAGTGACATAGTCTACATTGGAAAAAGGCAATCTTAGTTGGGATAAAGGGGTTCTGATGAGGAGTTGCACTGGTATTATTATACTGTGTAAATCTCCCTGTATACAAACCCTAGAGCATCCCCGTGACTAGGAACAGGGCTGAGTTTATGTCGGCTTAGCTAAGCCTGTTCACTTTCCCCAACTCTGCCGAATGAGACCTGAGCAAGCAAAGCAGGGTGCTCATTAGTCATTGTTAGAAGCCCTTTGTCAGAGAAATCCAAAAGTTAGTATGTGAAGATCACAAAGCAGCATAAAAAACTGATCTACATGGTACAGCACAAATGATATCAAACAATGACTACCTAAAAAGACTTAGGAGGTGACGGTTTACACTGGCACAACCACATTCATTGAGCGTTGGTTTCTGTTGAGGACAAGGGAACCTTCTGAATTCCAAACCAAGCCAATTCTCAGCCAGCAAAATTGTGGGGTGTTTTACCAGCCCAAACGAGTCTTGCTGAATTCAGGGAATCCAGTGCCTACACTTCAATTGACAGATGCCTCGTGGTGAACTGGTTTACTCACTGCAAACCACTAGTGCAAGCTCTGTGGAGTGGAATCAAGGAAGCAAGGCTTAGTCTGTTGTTAGTCAGATAAATTAGGTTCTTTGTACAAATCTGAGCTTGCCTTAGCAGTGGGTTTCTGTGTCTGTCTTTCTCACTCACACTCCAATGTCGTCAGCCCTCATTGTATGACTCTCGCCCATCAGCCTGTGTGTTCAGCCCAGTATTTGGGCTGGTGGCCTGAAGGAGAGGGAGCCTTCCAACATTAAAGCATTTAAATTGATAATGTGATATTGATGTTTAGTAAATGCTGTTCTCGTTCTATTGCAGGGTTTGGTTCATTTCCCCCATGGCAGACAAGGAACTTGGAAATCAAACCTTCCTCACAGAGTTCATCCTCCTGGGATTTGGGGCTAGCCCCAAACTGCAGATCCTTCTCTTACTGCTGTTTCTAGTGATCTACATTGTGACCATGGCTGGGAACATCCTCATCATGGCAGTAGTTGTGGCTGACCAGCACCTTCACACCCCCATGTACTTCTTCCTGGGGAACTTGTCCTGCTTGGAGACCTGCTACACCTCCACCGTCCTGCCCAGCATGCTGGCCAGTCTCCTGACTGGGGACAGAACCATTTCTGTTGGTGGCTGTATCACACAATGTTACTTTGTTGGTTTCCTTGCAGCTACTGGGTGTTATCTCCTAGCAGCGATGTCTTATGATAGGTATCTAGCGATATGCAAACCACTGCATTATACAACCCTTATGAATGGCAGGTTCTGCCTCCAGCTAGCAGCTGGGTCTTGGGTGAGTGGGTTACTGGCTAGTTCCATAGTAGCGGGTATGGTGTTACAATTAACTTTCTGCGGCCCCAATGAAATTGACCATTTCTTCTGTGAATTTAAACAAATAATAAATCTCTACCACAATGACATCTACCAGGTGGAGTTTTTAATTACCATTGTGGCTGCTTTATTGACACTGCCGCCATTTGCTTTGACTGTGACATCCTATATTTGTATCATCTGCACCGTCCTGCGAATACCTTCCACCACCGGGAGGCAAAAGGCCTTTTCCACCTGCTCCTCTCACCTCATTGTAGTGACGATTTTCTATGGGACCCTGAGCATTGTGTATCTGCTACCAAAAACCAAGACACTCAGAGACCTCAGCAAAGTGTTCTCCCTCTTCTACACAATTCTGACTCCTATGGCCAATCCCTTTATATACAGCCTGAGAAATAAAGAGGTGAAAGAGGCTCTGAAAAAAAAATGTCAGTAAATGTGTAGACTTGACAAGAATTCAGAAAGGACAAGGTATTTTTTGAAAGACAAATTAATGGTGAGTGCAGCTGATTTACAGGGTAATGCTCAGATGTTGTGTAGCCCCTTATTTCATGCTAGGTCTTTGGTATTGTGAGCTCATAACATTTGAGAATGTGCAAAGATTTGAAACTGTAAGTTCCATCAGAACCAGGATCTCTGTGTTCAGAATAAAATTGAGCTGTATTTTCCTTGTTGAAGGTTGGTGGTTAATAAGATTTTGGTGAATTCCATAGACTGAAACAAAGTCAGCATGTAAAATAGTGACTCGGGGCTGGATCTCCAAAGGGACCTAGGAATTGCAACGCCTCACTTCTAGTGCTGTGCCAGCCAGCGAAACCCACACCCAGACATTGGGATTCAGGGGGCACGTCTACATTGAAATAAAAGACCCACAGCAAGGCTGGGGATGGCCCAGGTCAGCTGACCTGGGCTTGTGGGGATTTGGGCCACAGGGCTGAAAACGGCAGTGTAGATGTTTGGGCTGGAGCCCAGGCTCTGAAACCCTGCAGTGGAGGTGGGTCTCAGCCCATGCTGCAGCCCAAGCCCAGACATCTACACAGCTATGTTGAGCCCCTCAGCCTGAGCCCTGCCACCCCCAGTCAATTGACCCAGGCGCTGAGACTTGGCACCATGGGATTTCTACTGCCGTGCAGATGAACCAATAGAGTGTCAGGCCAGAAGGGATTGCCAGATCGTCTCGTCCAACTCCCTGTACAGCACAGGCCACCGCCTTCCCCTCCCCCCCCCCACCAGCACCTTGACACCGAACCCCACAACCCAAAGGAGACCAAAGTATCACAGCCCTCAGGAGACAGGGCTGTGATGTGCCACAGGCAGTGAGCAGGAGGGACCAAGGTGTTCTGGTGCCTGAGGCCCCCGCAATGGCAGGGAAATGGTTAAGTGAGAGACACCCAGATAATCCTGGCAAGTGACCCGCACACACACGCTGCAGAGGAAAGTGACCCCCACACACACCAAGGTCACTGCCAGTCTGAGCAGGGGGGAAATGCTCCCTGACCCCACACATCCGATCAGTTAGACTCTGGTCACGTGAGCAAGAATCATCCAGGCCAGCACCTGAGAGAGAGAGAAAACGCTCGGTGCCACCTCAGAGCCCCAAGCCTCTCCACCAATGTCCCATCTCCAGCCCTGGCCATCCCTGATGCTTCAGGGGAAGGAGATTAAAAAAAAAATAGGGTAGAAAAAAATCCCTTCCTAACCCCTGCAGGCAGCCAGCTGAAATCCTGAAACATGACCTGTAAGGGACATAAGGCATAATCCAGGAGGCAGTCCTTCCCCCCCACTGCTGTCTGTGCAGAGCAAGATGTTTGACTCTGTCATAAGCTGTCTCCATAATGGCAGAATCCCTTTTGTTCTGGCCTAGGAATAGTGTCATTGAGAACTCAAGTCTCGTTTTGACTATCATTATATTATATTATATTATATTATATTATATTATAATAAAGCCAAAACAAAACATTTCAATAATTCCCCATCAAAAAATTCAACTAAAATCAATAGATCCCCACAAAACACATCAGTTGCATTGAATCAGTGTTTTTAAATGGAAAGCTGGACATTTCAACCAGGTCTAATGGTGATGCACCATCCAGTGCTATATTCAGAAGACAGAACTGTAAACATCAATTTCACTGCACATATATAAACTTAGAAAAATATTTTCATCAATAATAACTGAAATTTATGGATATGCAAAGGAAAAAATGGTGCTTAAAATTATTAGTGTCAAAATCCAATGATTAAGACTTTTGAATTAGGCTTGTTACAAGCAAAATAATAGTAAAAACAGGTATGATTTGTTGATTGAAGGATATTTATTGTACATTTTGATATGGGATGTTGACAAATTGTGTTTTAATGGTTAATAAAGCTTTAGCTTTTTGAACCTCAATGTCTACTGTCACTAAATACTCTCCTCCCCCGCCCCCAATTTCACACAACTGTGAAAATTTAAATCAATAAAAATCTAAAAAAATGATTTAAAAAGCATTGATATCATCCATCAGAATTATTAAGAGAAATGAGTTCTGCCAAACCTGTGCACAACACAGGACAGAGATTCTCACCCCATGATTCCTGCATTAAGCGTATCACTTCTAGTTGTATCTTCTAGGAAGAAACATCCAGTCTGGACTTAAAGACTCCAACTGATGGAAAATCCACCACACCCCTTGGAAAATTGTTCCCATGGTGAGCTACTCTTCCTTTTTGTCTCTTGTGTCCTGGGCAGAGGACAATGATTGACTCAGTGAAACACCCCTGTGCAAACGTTGGGCCCTGGCCCAATCAGAGGTTGCTTGCTGGCCTGCTGTAGTGGAACTTTGTTAATGGGGATGCGGAAAGGAGATACATATTCTTGGTGCCGCAGAACTGTGGCTCAAGATTTTGCCTGATGCACTGTTCTTTCACCCGATATTTTCATAAGTATTTTACAGTCTAAATTTTGGGAAGCTCGTCCTTTCTTTGGTGGGGACCCAGGGGTGTGCAATAAAATAAAATGAAGTAGAATAAAATAAAATGTTCAATTGCAAGTTTTCCACTTGCATCACTTGTGAACATATTTGATTTCATCCACATTTCTTCCTCCCAGAATGGGGTCCAAGGGTTACCCAAAATCTTGAAGTGTGTGTGTGTGTGTGTGTGTGTGTGTGTGTGTGTGTGTGTGTGTG